CGCTGATGTTTACCGCCGAGCGACTGGATGCTGTCAAGGAATAAATAACCGTCGCATCGGGTGACGGCTTGATGAGACGTAATTAGGCGTGCCGGCTGGAGATTAATCACGAGAAGTCTGCCGTCTTAAAGCATCGTTCTCTGGGAGGCAGTCTGGGATTAACGGGAGGCGACGGGAAGATGTGCAACACACACTCCACACACTCCGTATAATGGCACCACAGTGACGGACGGTTCTGGTGTCACACGTCCTGCTCAACGCGCTCTACACTTTGATTTTCAGGGACCGTGTTGTCCTTGGCTTCAAACTCCCCGAATAAAGGTCATCATATCGCTGCTGGAGGAGGTTTTCTGCACATCTTTCAGAGCAGATTTTCCTCCGACCTGAACCTGAGACCAGATCCAGCTGATCAAACTACACCATCGATCCCACATTGTGCTGAGTGGCTCTGAATCCGTCACAGACTCACAATCCTCAGCAGCGTTTAGAAAAGTTGGCAGAAATACAGAGCAGGAAGGAGAGCAGCGAGACGGATCAGCCGGTGACAAAACAAGACAAGCCCGGTGGACGTGTGAGCGAGCGGAGCCGTCCTACCTCAGTCCGTCGCTGCTCCTCTCCAACATCCTGCTTCGTCGAGCGGCTCTCAGTCACTCCAGGCTGAGCCGGCGGTTTGCAGCGACTCGTCCAAACGCTGAGCGACGCGCAGCTCGACAGCCGGAGCTCTGGAGCCTCGGCGGCAGCAACATCCCTCCCATCCAGCCTGAATTAATTAAGCCTGTTTCCTCTCTGCCCTCCCTCTGTGGTTACAGCTCGCTCTGCTGATCCACAGCTGCTGCTCTTCCTCTGCTGCTGCCGCCTCTTCCAACGCACTCAATAACCACATTACTGGAGGCTCTCATTCAATTGTGAGTTTAGGGAAAGGACAAAGCACAACAGGTGTCGAGCAATTTAAACGAGCCCAACAAAAGACATCATCCGTTAACCGTCTGAAGCCAAAAGGTTCAGAGATTCAGCAGGATGACACCAGAAACTACAAACAATCCACAGATTTACGTCTCTGCTAAATGAACAAACCCTGTGTCACCAAATCTAAGATCATCAATTCACTTTATTCTTGAATTCTCATTTAAAAAGTCTCCATGAATAAAAACACCTGCAACAGATTCTGTTAAAAAAAATAAAATCCAACCAAGAAGCTGTTTGATTCTTTGGATTTTCAAACTTCCTTCAGTCTTTCCAGCTCTCTCAGAAAAATTAACCAAATCTAAGCTAAAAATTATAATTTAAAAATACTTTACAGTGAGATAAACTTCAACGATCCACAAGCAGGAAGCGCACAACATAAATAATTATATAAGAATACACAAAAAAAAGCACGCAGCGAAAAAAAAGAACACAATGCAGCAAATTCACCAACAAAAACAAACATTTGCACCACATTCTGTAAAAAAATACCAAACACGTTTAAAGCAGTGTTTCCTCAGAGAGCCAGAGAGGAGAACAAACCTCCTGGATCAATAAATAACTGCAGCGTGGCTCAGAACCAGAGTCTAAACCAGTCCGACTCTGATCACGTCTTTCATCAAAATCACTTCATATTCTACACGTCTCGGTCAAAATGTTGCCAAAAGTAGAATTTTGACTCAGGAAAAGAAACAAAATTTTGTGTTGCCACGAGGACGAGGTGATACGGCCAAAAATATTTATTATGATGTAAATGAGAACATTTGCGATAAAACTGATGCCAGACAAAATACTTAAAAACTGCACAACGTTGTTGGCGCTAATAAAAAAAAAAACACTTCCTTTTCCATTTAACAAGCTGCTGTTTTTGATGTCATTAAAGCTGTAATGCACCAAAATCAGTCGTGCATAAGTTGTAAATTGCTTGCTGACGATTTGTTTATTCAAAAAGCATTTTTGACTGATCCTGAGCAGAACAATGCAGAGTCCACAACAGTACAGTAGAGCTGCTTTCCGACATAAAACTTAGCAGCCAGTTTCGTTGGTCTCACGTCAGCTGAGTGGCGCCAATGTTTAGATCTCAGAAATGCTACCCGGACATCACCACAACAACCGAATACTATGATATCCGGGTCCAGCCCTACTGGGTCGGTCGATGCACTACGTTCATCCTCCTCCTCGGTGCTTCTCGCTCCGTTTGTATTAGAAAACAACAGCGCTGCATGTTTCACTTAAATTTTATCGCGATGTTTCAATTTCATATCATCCCCTAACATTACACCGGTGTTACCGTGCACAGTATGATATGACCCAGTTGCCATGACGATGTTCCACCATGCTGGATGTATCTCCAACACCTGGCTCCTCTGTTCTCTGGTTCTGATCACTGATGCATTTATTTATTGATCCAGTCGGTTGGGTTTTCCTCCCGCGATCTTTTTGGACAAATTTTGACTCATTTTTAATAATCTTGAGTTTTGAGTTGTCGTGGCTTCGCGGTTCCACAGTGGAACGCAGAATGTTTTAGATTTTTGCATAATCTGGATGCAAATATGTGTGGGTTTATTTATTTTTTTGTGAATTATAAATAAGACGTGGACAATACCAGGGTTCTCTCCAGCGTTATAACAGTAACGGCCCGTTAACGCTGCTGCCTGAGAAGCTGCGCTGCACATTGAGCCGATACGTTGTGCTCGAGGGTACGTAGCGGGAAAATATTTAACAACAAGCGCTGATGGAGTTCCACAACCATCGTCTTCGCTGCTAATGCTGCTATTCGCTAGCGTATGCGCCGCTTCACGCGACGACTCCCCCCGTGGTACACGAGGACCCTGAATAACAATTTCTGTTTTTAGCATACATCAGGACTTTTTCCTGACAGACTGAGATTGTTTTTGTGTTTTTACAGTTTCTGGCTGATAAATATTATTTTTTATTTCCTTTTTCTTTCAAACTGGCAGCTGGGTTTTGAGCTACTGAGAATTTAAGTCAAGTATTGCAACCTGCTGTAGAGCTACACAATGTTTAATGGCACCAAAGACCATCAAACAAACAGTCCAGAGACTCGATCACACTAAACGGCACCAACGTGGCCTCGGTCAGACCAGCTCAACGCGCTCGAGGAGGTCTTTGAAGCAGAAACGTCGGCCGAACGTGTCAGAGCTGGAGAGACGAGCTGCTGAGCTGCTGCATGGTCTTCCTGCGCGACGCCCACACGTGCACGCTGCACTTCCTGTGCCACACGAGTGTCAAGGTGCAGACGTGCTGCTGTTAACCAACGACCCGCTGTGATTGGTTGTCTCAGTCCACTCGGCCCGCTGTGTTTCTCACCGTCCTGCTCGGCCTGGACCGAGCTAAAAGAGGCAGATCTCAGAGCAGCGTCGCATCATTTCCCTCTCAGCCCCTTCAAAGCTCCTCATGTTTCCATCCTCCTGTCTCCTGGAAGTCACACCGAGCTTTAAAACGGCAAAAGCGAGCAGCAGTCGGACAAAGACTAGCAGCCAAACACGGGATGGGAACTCCGTGGAAAACAGAAAAGCCTGCAGGGCCCGAGCTAATCTTTAAAGGGAAGCCGGCCTCTCTGAGCAGCCCAGAGGAATGCGATTGTGTCGAGCAGCAAAACACAAAGAATGTCTGACATCCACTGATAAGTTTCAGGGCTGTGGATGGAGGATCTGAGGAGGAAGCTGGTGGTGCAGCTGCAGCCGAAAGGTCACATTCTGCTCAGTGAAACCAGAATATCAGCGAATTAACAGGGTTTAAGGCGCAGCGGTGAAAAACAAACAGCCTGCAGCCCAATGTGAGGCGCAGACGGCGGTAAAAATAGACCAGCGTTTGATCAGAAGCAGACTGTTCTCGTCTGACATCTCGGCTGCACTCAGACCCAGAATAGCTCAATTACAGGCTCCTTAAAAAGATCTTGTGACGAATTATGTTTTAATCAGCCGCGGCCTGGACGGGCTTCACTGCAGACTTACATCTTCCAGAGCAGGAGTTAAATATTCACACATCCAGATCTGAAACAGCCTCATCCAACCAGCTGGTGGCTGCTCGGACCATCTCTGGAGAGAAGTTCAGCATCCAGGATTAATCCGTTGTTAGATTCATGCAGAAACTAAAATTTAATGATGTTTCAGTGGTTCTACAGTCAGGTTGTGTCTCCTCTACCTGAACACTACTGGAGAGCTTCAGACGGTTCACACTGATCAATAAAACGATTCTGATTGTCGTGGAAAAACTAAGTTCACTCTAAAAGACTGAGTGTCTGAGCAGAGTTTTGAGCTTTAACCAAGAAAAAGACGGTTTTCAAAGCCGATCAAAGCCTTCAACATCAATATAGCAACAGTTCATGAGGCTTTTAATTAAGCTAACTAATTAATTGTGTTTTTTAGAGACATTTCTAACTAATAAACATGATCAAGTGACGTCCAGTTTCTCCAAAAATGAACTTTCTGTTGCAATTGAATCACAAACAACCAGTTTTCTGTGCAGGTGTCCTCAATGTCACGATATTATTATGACTCTATTGTAGCTCCTGCAGTCACTTCTAACTACAGTATTTAAAGCAGAACCTCATCAGCTCCTGTAAAGTCTTTCCTGAACATTGACACATGCACAGATTTAGTTTTTTCTTAAGAAGGAATTCTGCACCGTTTTAGTTTTTAAATGTTTGGTGAAAACGACGTCAGATTTTTTCCGACGTTGCATCGAGAACGTCCCTCTTCGTCACCATATAAACAAACAGGAGGCAGAGTCCAAAACGCATCAGCTTAGTTTCCAGTGACTGATTTAGAGAGAACAAACCAGGCTGCATTGTGCAATATCGTCCCCCGAAAACGGGTTTTCTGTTACAAATGAGTCACGCAGAGTTATCTACGCAGATCCGTCTTTGTTGGCTGCATATTACGCTTTCAGTTCCTAACAAAGTTTCACTATCTGCAGCAGAACCCGACCGGCTCTGACAAACAGAAAGTGAACCCGAATAACAAACCTCCTCTACAGTTTCCACGACTAACTGCTGTGTCTGTTCATCAAACCTGGACTCGGGGGCGTCGAACCGTCCGGCGGTGAGATGAGAGGACATCAGGCCGGTTTCATCGCAGGGAGAAACAGCAGCTTCAGAAGCTCCAAACGGGACGAGCACAGCGTTCGACTTTAACGACGAAGGTTTGAAGGTGGCGAGTCGAGTCGCTCTCCGTTGTTAAGCTCTGAGATCCTCCGAGTGTGAAAAAGCTCCACGTGGGTCTGAGCAGCCGGTTTCACTTCCTCTAAACTTCACACGTTTTGTCTCAGAGGTGGAAACTGTCTGCACAGACCCCAGCAGCATGTACAGTTGTGGGCAAACAGCCTCGCACACATCTGCAACACATCTACAACACATCTACAACACATCTGCATCACAACAACAAGAGGCGGAAACAAACAGCCCAGAGACAGACAACAACACTTCTTCTCCTCCAGCAGCACATTCGGACGTTTTTCATGGAAACTATTAGCAGCAGCAGCAGCAGCAGTCATCCCTCCCCGTCTGTCCGGCCTACTCATCCAGCTCCATTCATCTGCACCAACACCTCCCCCACAGAGAATGAATCAAAGGCTTCAGGAGAATCAGCTCTCCTCAGCCATCGGCAGCATTTGTGCACATTTCATAATGGAGCACACTCAGGCTGTAAGTGGCTGACGACTCAATTACCGACCGCAGTGGGCTGATTTGGCTCTTTTTTTAGTGGCCTTGACATCAAGCATTCACTCCTCCATCAGCCGGCAGGCGTTTCTGAGAAGCACCGAGTTTGATTCGATGCAGCTCATCTGAAAGCTCAGGACTTCTGACTGAACACGGCAGCATTCAGCTGAAGGTTCGATGAGATGGACAGAAACGAGGCAGAACTCTGCACCGACGTGTCATTTCTAAGAAAAACACCAGCTGGACTTTACTTCGACTGAAGACAAAGTTCTGCAAACTTCTAATCCGAAGTGAGAACGTGAACACGTCTTTCACCTGTTGTTGCAATAAAACATGTCCGTCCTGTTATCATAAAGCTTGTGGGAGTCCAGCTAATAGACACCATGACAAAGTCTTCTGTGGCCATTCATGACCTTTGGGAACCAAACTACCGTCCCCTTAAACAGGAGAAGCTACAGCAGGAGTTCTACTTTTGTTTGAAACATCTGACGGCAGTTTTTCCCAAATGAGACGTTTGTAGGCAACTACAGACGTAAACGATGAAATGAGCTCTGATTTACACGATCATTTGTTTCCTGTAATCGGTTTTGATCGTGATCCTCTGACAGCTCAGGAGGCTGCAAGGTGGCTCAGTGGTTAGCACCATCGCCTCACAGCAAGAAGGTTGTTGGTTCGTGTTCCAGGATCTTCCTGCGTGGAGTCTCCATGTTCTATACGGTACACCAGAGAACCATCCAGTATGTTCCCTTTGGTACACCAACACCACCCAGTCCTGCTGCTCCGGGTCCGGTTTCCTGGTCGCATGATACCATCTGAAACAGTTTGTCCTCCGTGAGAGCAGCCGAGCACTGAAAGTCAACAGAGACGGTATGTGATGGTGTTTCTATGGAAGTTCATTAAAGAATCAACAGCACAGGTCGTATTTTAACACATGAAGAAGACTCTCGATCCGTTGGTCTGCTGAACGCCGTCGGTGGACCGAGCAGAGATATTTACCGACACTAAACACATGAAGTCTCTGCTGCAGGAAAAGGCTGACCACCTAAAGTGGTTTTGATTTACTGTAAAGGCTTTTGCAGAAATCCATCGTGGGGTCTGCTCCGGTGCGTCCAGCCCGGCTCTGATGTATGCAGCCGGTCCAGATGCATCACAGAGAGCCAATAATCAGGTTCAGATCTGGAATATTGAGCAGCTGGACTTCCTCTGGGGAGTCGAGGCATTAGGAGGAGTTAACGCTGAGCAATCACACGAAACCTGCTTCTGATTCGCTCAGAGAGGAATCTACTGGAGTTATGTTCTCCCAGAAACACATCGAAGCCTCACGGATCCTGAGATGGAGTCAGCAGCATCAGGATGCGTGCTCTCTGGATGCAGCATGAGGCAGGTTTTCTCTTCATCAATTAGCTAACAGGCTCCATCGGCGAGGCCTGGACCAGGTTCCTCAGCTGCTAATTCATGCACAGGCTTCACACTTGTGGTTAAAAGGCGGAGAATCTGAGAATCAATCGATCGATCGACTTCACCTCGTGGAGGACGTGACATTTGCTCGGCCAATTACAGCCTGTCAGGACGTTCTGTCATCGAGGAACTTCAGCTCACAGATATTATTCCTCTGAACATGTAGGTTCACAAATATCTCCAATGAACGTCACAGAACATCAAAGAACTGATAAAAGACCTTGAAAGTCAGACCACAGACCCAGAGCAGCTGTTAACTGCTAGAATGATGTTAACTATTATTTTAGAATCACAGTTACGTCGATGTAGAAATTAAACACCTCGGAGGATTTAAGAGGCGCCGCTGCTGCAGGAAAACAAAGGAATGATTGTTTCTTGCTATTTATATGCAAATTTCATCCAAACAACATTAACGAGTTCTACATGTCCTAAAGCCTGCTGATGAATTTTGAGGGTTCTTCATATTCAGTAAACACATTCGATCCCTTTACAGCAACAGCATCACGTTAAAGTTCAACAGCACCTATTTATCTTATGCAAAATTAAAAACTAGCAGCTTTGTTTCACTTCACTAAAGATTCACGTCCTACAGGATGAACCAGTGCAACTAAAGTCACACAGTTCATCACTGAGATTTCAATACGTCCACTTTTATCTCTGATGAGACTCGATCCTCAGTCTGGACGACACCAAACACCAAAACTCTGGAGAAATGATCCAACATCGTTCAGCTGCTCTTTGCTGGAGGGGTTGTGT